TCTAGGTATTCTTTTCATATTGATAAGGAATTTCTCACAAAAACAAATCCAAAAGAACTTCTGATTTTATTCCTTGATGTTCATGGCCAGACTTAGATCTTCTTGCTAATTCCAGGATATATGATATACTGCCTTAATAAAATGTTTAAAATTCAACTTCATTTGCAATCAGTAACCTTTTCCAGGGGAGGACAGATAACTAATAACAGCTCTCATTTTTCTGAACATCTAACCAATGTATTTCCCCTGCTGTAGTAGACCTCTATTTTGTTACCAGTATTAAAGGGAAAAATAAACCCAAGATTAGAAACTATGCAAAATGAACATAAGGCACAGACTCCATATTTACTTCTTGTATAGAAGGCAAATCTACATTTTGGAAAATATTTATAACATTTATTTTATTTGTGATCATATAGATTTTCCCACAGCCTTTTTGTATATGGTGCAATTTAAGGAATACATCATTTCTTCCTATGGCAAATTTATTCTATCTTCACCCATTTCTGTCATTTAATTAAACACATTCCAGACGACATATGTCCCAATCACAGGTGCATTCCAACTTCCGTGGCCCTCAACTTCCCTGCTCAACAGTCACTTATTTCTAATGACTTTCCACTGCAGACACTGTCAGGACACTGAATTTGACCCAGCAACTACAGCCAGGATAACTAACTTGGAGATAACTGATATCTTATATCTATCTCATGTTTTGTTCCTGCCTACTGCTGTTCTCCCTATCGCCCCCCGTCGCCAGCACCAGATAATTGCTGACTTTCCACTTAACTACCAAATAGTCTTCTTATTTTAATAACTACCCACCCAAACTCCAGTTTAGTGGATGGTGACTCAGGGATAATTAATTCATCATCACCTCCTATGCCAACTGGATCCTAAATTATTGCTTACCTGTTTGCAATTCTAGATACTGAAACTTCTTGTTCCTGTGACACCTAACACATTGACTCTTAACGTATTTTTTGCCAGGCTATTCACTGAATGCTGGACTAGCAACTATAGTTGATCTCTTTCATTTGGAAAGGAAGTTTCTTAACTAATGTCTTATTCAACCCCAAATAATTAAAACAAACAAACAAAAATAACAATAATAATAAAGTTCTGTCCTTAGCTCTTAGAAGAAAGCTAAACTATTTTAACTTGCATTCACAACCATTTACATAATATGGCTACAAATATTTTGATGTATATGCAGTCTTAAGTGTGCAGGAAGTTGTCCCTTGTGCATAAGTGTGTGTGTGTGTGTGTGTGTGTTGTGTGTGTGTGTGTTAAATATATAGAGAGAGACAGGCAACAATCTGGATTTCTGTGTATGGTGTTATAATGTTGGCTATGTGATATTATTGATAAAACCTCCTATAGTGCAGTGATTTTTTGTTAAATACCATTGATCTTGATCTAGAGGAAACCATGTCTTTATTTCACATTTTATAGTGCACACATTTCAAGTACTTTTCCCAAACTTATATTCTGGAGAGAAAAAACAAATCATTAACTCAACTTAATTTAGTATATTATGTTTACTTTATTTCCTAAATAACCAATTGCTACAGAGGGAATAGCTAACTATATATAAAAGACTATGTTGAAACTTCATTAGGCTCATGGAAATATCCACCCATAATGAACACTGGCTTAAAGAGGCCATTGTCTGGACTTCAGTGAGAAGCAGATTGTTATGGTTGTCAAGAGTAACTCACGCAAGAGTAACTGTGGACAGTCCAAAGCTGAACAGCTGGGCAGTGCAGGCCTACAATGTGCCTTAAAATATATGGTGACTATTTATTGTCAAAACTTAGAGAGGGCTATGTTCTTCCAACCATGGTCAGCCTCATTGCTTAATTTATATTTATAGCTGGCCTCTCCACCATCTGTGCACACGGCCCATGCTGCATCTCTGAGGAATTGGAGTGGCATTATTTGCAGACCTACTTAAACAGCCAGGAAAAAGCAATCCATCATTTGTAAGGGGGAAATGTAAGACAGTCACAGTGGTGTCCTGTCACACTTTCAGATTTTAGTCTTCATATTCTTTTGCTTTCTTTCTAATCCAATGGCAAATACAATGAGCACTGACCAAGAGTGTAGAATCCACTAACAACAATCTACCATTAGACGGAGGAAGGATGAATTATTAAGATTCTCCTAGGCTGGCTCTAGAGAGGAGGTAAAGAACATTTCTGCTGAGCAGAGTCTTATTCCTTTATGGTCACATAGCCCTAAACAAATCAGGGCCCAAGTGGAATGCAAGATACCACTAACAAAGGGACCTGTTGAAACCGGAGCTTCCTGGTATAAGTGAAATTTAATGTCTAAAATGTGTTTATTAAAGGAGTAGAACTACTGGAGTATTAAAAGGAAACAGATTTATGTTTCTCTTGCCATCCATTTCCAAACATGCCCTGTCAGATCTGTCTTCCCACCCCGGACTGCAACCTGGGTCAATACTCTGGCCCTGGAGTCACTTTAAAGTATTTTAAAAGCCTTATCTTTAGTTATTAAAAATAAACAAACAGAAATGCACAATAACAACAGCAACACCACACACACACCAGCGAGATCTGAATCAAAACATTTAACTGATACTCAATTGAAAGTTTCTCTCCATCTCCCAAAGCAGGCATGAGATGAAAAATAGAGAAGAGAGCAGTAAGATTATCTGTCAACTGTGTTTTTGTCTCTCTGATCTATTTCTTCTCTTCTGCTTAGGGCTTCTCCAGGATCAGAGAGGGGAGGATGGATTTTCACTTAAGCAGAAAAGGCTGTTTTTCTCAGCTTGTGCTCTCAAAAGGCCATAGTCATGGGAGTCATCTGCCTGCCTCTTCTCTGTGGGGCAGTACTATAGATTCCTCAGAGACCCCCCACCATAGGAAACCCCTCACTGGACCCCTGCTGAAGTTGACAAGGCACTCTCTGGTGGCCTTCTGCTCCAGCTCCCAGTGCAGCTCCAGTTCCAGCAGTGTCCCTCCAGTGTCTTTTGCTTGGGGTAGCCTCAGCAGGCAGGACCTCTTGGGCAGGGTCCTTCTGAGAACCTTCAGCCCAGCTTTCTTCAGGTGGAAATAGAACTTCTTCCACTGTCACCCTTCCCATTCTACCCGCATTGTGAGCAGCTCCTGAGAGTTCTCATCCAGAATAAGTTGCCCATTTTTCAGTTTTTACAAGCACTTCCCAGCAACATATACACCACGTGCATACACACACACACACACACACACACACACACACACACACACACACGCAATCTGTCCAGGAAATTTCTTGGTATCTTCACAACACGGTTTGTGGAGGAGGGAAATACCATGACAACCTCTAATCCTGTGAATTCCAGCACTTCAAAGAATCCCCTGTTCCTATGCATAGTTGAAAGGGATGACCACTGGGAGTCTTTTGTCAATGCCAACAAGTCGTAGGAGGATATATTTCATACCTCATTTAGAAATATGGGGTTACTTATTCACATTTTCCTCAGCTTTACAGCCTTCGCTGAAAATCAAGGTTGACCAGAATTCTCTTGTGTGACTGTGTTGCTGCTGGTATTAGATTAAAGGTGGCCGTGTTGTTGTTGTCAGTGACATGTTGCACAGTTTGGAAAGCATGGCTCTCATCAGAGACCCTGATTTTACAGGTTCCTTTTCTTCTACTTATCCATTACTAGTTTGGCAGAAGAAATTGTACTTAGTCACACAAATGAAACTACACTAACACTTAATGCACATCAAATGGAGGAAAAAGAAGGAGTCTATCAGAGAAATTGGTGATCTCCGGAAACAGTTCATTATCCCCTTTAGTTCCTAGATAGTTCCTTTAATTCCTTTTTTCATCTGAGACTGGTATTTTGTATTTTGTATTTTTATTGAAATCAACAACAAAAAATAGAAAGTCATTTTTTGTGAGCATTATCATGAGTCATCAGATAATTGGCTAGGGGTGCACAAATTACAAGGATTTAATACATGTAAATGATACAATACATTTTAAATGATAGAAGCCAAAGAAGTACTATGTCTCATATGTTTCAGCTATTTTCTATTAAACTTACTTCAAGGAAAGATTAAGACAAGAGTGAACCATGTCAAGAGAAAGGAAACTGGTCTAAAAGAGATAAAATTTACATAGCAAATAAATGATATGAACATTTTCATAGGAGGTATTAATAATTAAATATATTTCGATCTACATAGACAACTGTTAAGTCTGTTATTTAATTTCATTTTCGTTTTTTTTTTTAACCTTCTTTAGTGTTTATCTTTTCAGAGCAGCTGACCTCTTTCCAGTTTGTTTTTTCTTTTTGTTTTTGTTGGTTTGTTTCTTTCCCTGCAACCCCCTGGCAAGAGCTGTGTTGTTATGGGGATATTATATGATAGGTCTAATACTGGCTTATGCTAGTTTTCAATAAACCACCATATTAAACTTCCAAAAGACTACAAATAAATAAATAAATAAATAATTTAAAACTTTATCAATTATAGTAAGAAAGGACAATTTGTCAAAATTTGTTTAAGAGAAAAATGGCTTTACTGTCAAGTGATTATTTTTGCTATTTTTCTACCAACTTCCATTGATTAAAAACTGTATGTATGTATGTATAGTCCTTATATATAAGTGTATATATATGTGAATATACATACACATATAACTAAAATGTACACACATATATATGATATACATTATATTTCATATTTATATGAAACACTGGGAAGAAAAACCACAAAAAGGGGGAAGGTAATAATTTAGTGATTATTGTCATGAAAATCAGAGGCCCTGTTGTTCATGATGACTTTATCTCTTTAGAAGTAGATAGACAGATATAGATAAATTAAACTTGCTAGAAAAAAAAAACATCAACTCACAAATGTAAAGCTAAATTAACAAAATAATTTCAGATTGACTCTGAGGTGTAGGAAAACCATACGGATTTAACAAATGGACTGTGAAGAGGTGTAACTACAGGTACGAGAACAAAGTTCTCATCGTCTTACCAGGTTTAGGGACAATGAGCTGTGCACTGGTCTGGACGTTTCCAGCCTCATTTTCAGCCACACATTGATAAAAGCCTTCATCCGACTTCACCACCCCAAGGATCCGTAAGTTGCTTTCTCCCTAGCGAGAAGATAAAGAAGGTGATTTTTTTTTTTTTTTTGACCGGTAAGGGGATCGCAACCCTCGGCACGGTGTGGTCTGCACCATACTCAGCCAGTGAGCACACCAGCCATCCCTATATAGGATCCGAACCTGTGGCCTCGGTGCTACCAGTGCCGCACTCTCCCGAGTGAGCCACGGGGCTGGCCCAGGTGAAATATTTTAAAGAGTAAATACTCAAGGTGACAAAATGAACATAAACTGAAATTTAACAGAATGTTATAGAAGAAACAAGAAAGGAGGTCGTGAGGATTCAGCCTCACTGATGTCATACTCCACCTGGGAAATATCATGCATCCCCAATACTCTTTTCTGAATTCACGAGCATCAGTCCAACCTAGTTCTACAATAAAAAGTATGTTCACAAAAAATACACATTTCAATATCTAAATGAACAGTCAACAGAAGGTCTTTTATTAGGTATGGAGTAATCTAAGATTAGCACCAAAAGAAATCTCATTTTTTCACTTGTATTAAAGGAAACAGATTTAGTAGCAGCTCAGGAAAAGACAAAAGAAAAAAAGAAAAACACAGAGTTCTACAGCTTCTAAAGGACAAAAAATCTAGGTTGGATATTTTCTGGAGCGTTACCCAGAAAATTGTCTAAAAATCCATTCAAAATTGTAATTGCTTTGACAGATGCCCTTTCGGGGTTTGGAGATGGGAGTATGGTAGATGTTTTATACGCATGTCATTAGTGTCCTACGGCCGAAGTGTTGCACCTTCAGCAATCCATAGATTAAATGCAACAATGTTAATTCCTCCTTTATTCAAATTGAGCCACCATTTTTTTCAAGGATGGATGATAAAATGATCTAGAGATAGCATTTAATTATACTAACTCAGTTTATCTACTATGTTAGTGTAAGAATTAGTTCAGTAAGTGAGACATGTTAAATCACTTTCCCTGAAGTCATTAGGAGATAAATATTACCTCATGGGGAAATCTTAATTGTTTTTAGTGTCTTGTAGTCAATTCTCAGCTGATGTAAAATTCTTAGACAGAGCTGGCTAACTTCTAATTAACAATTCACTTATAAGTTACTATTTGTGCTCAGTGTTAACATGTGTGGCAGAAAATGGCTTTCGGATTTCTGGAGCTATTGAGGAAATATTTTTAAGCACAATTTAATGGGAATAGGGCACATACCACACATTTTCTTTTACCTTAAGAGAAGAAGCATTTAAGTATGTTGGCTGTAATGTGTCATGCTGGGAGAAAAATTATACTCAAACTGTAGAAAAAAATAAATGTTGCATTTTATTGTATGTCCTTAAGGATACTCAACAATTTCCTTTATATGCAAGTAGCATTATATTTTAGGCCTTTAAACCACTTTTCAAGTGGCCAAATGGCAGGTCATTTTTAATTCAGTGGTAGTAGAAATAGCATTGCATTTAAAAGAACTGATGGATGGGTGTGACATTCAAAGTTAAATTTTTTCCCTTTCTTAATCCATTCCCAACCAATTAAACAGATGTAACCAAAAGTGAAAAATGGTAAGTTGTGGTTAAAGTGATAAAGACGTGCTTTATGGATTAGTTCCTTAAGAGCATTTATAGTATGCCAAAATGCATGCACAAAGAGCTTATGAAAGTTTCTGAAAATCAACTGATCATGGAAGAGGCATTTATCAACAAGAGCCCTTTTACGGCCATGGAGAAGAGGTGGAAGCCTGGACTCACATGACACCTGTGCTCTGGTCCTATTCTGCCTGGGAGACATGGCTTAGATGACAGCTCTTCTTTGACAGGGCCATGTCTGCTTCTGCAGTGTATGATAAGTGAACCTAAAACCCTCTTCTTTAGCTGCAAAGTTCTTCAGTACTTAGAAAGTGCCTTTCATATTTCTCATGAATATATATACCTGAAATCAGAACCTCTGATGCTAACCTACACCTACAGGAGAGTTTCACAAAGCATTTTCAAATGAGCAAAGCATTCTCCTGATAATATCAGAAACAACAATATTGAGCACTTGCTGTGTACTGAGACAACTCAGTGAATATATTTTCATTATTCCTATGAGCTTCCACAAGCATAGGGGTAGAAAGTGAACTAAAACTTGTACGAAACTCTAAGAACAATTGTTCTTAGCTTAAATTTTTTCTGGTTGTTCAAAATTACAAACCAATGTGAACTCATGGCCTTTCTACCACTGCAGCCACCACTATCACTGTCCCCATAACCATTGCTTAACTCAACTGCTCACATAAGATCAGTTGGTCCTATCTAGAAGGAAGCCAAGAAAAGTTGTCTGTATTAAGACTACCATATTGTAAGTAGCACATCTTACTGAAACTTTATTACAATGAATAAAATCCAAAGAAGTAAGAGAATCTTGGCTTAATATACTCTCAAACTAGGTTCTAAACTCTTCTACAAGCCAGCAGTGAAAGTCTTAGACCCTTTGTTTTTCCTTTGTTTGCTTGTTTTAAAGCTTTTCTGTAAAACAAGGGAGATGGACAATTTGATCACTTTTTTTAGCTCAAAAATTCTAAGTCTAGAAATGATTTGCTTTATTAGAACACTTTTCTTAACATATAAAAATTTCCAACAGGAAACTTCTTCCCAGGGAATAAAAGCAAATGAAAAAATAGTAAACAACGAATGGGATTATAAAGCTAGTATAAAAAAAGATAATTACCACTATCTGAAAATAATCACTAGGGATGACCACATCTCCATTCTTCATCCAATTCACAGTGGGCACAGGCTTTCCAGAGACTGCACATTCAAACTCAATATCCATGCTTTCATAGGCATAAAGGTTGGAAGGGTGATTTAAAAACCATGGCGGAACTGCAAAGACAGAAAAAAAAAAAAGTGAGTGGGTGGAAATGTGAACTTTATGCTGTTGTCTTCACTGAGTTAAAAACACTGCTCTGGGATAGAAAATATTTGTAATTCAAATCATTTCCCGAAACCCTTAGTTTACTATACAGGAACTACTGTAGAATAAATCTTTCTTTTCCCCAAATGCAGTTAAACAGTTGTGGTTATTGCTGTTTTACCACACATAAAGGGGGAAGGAAAAACACTTTTAGAAAAAAATATCATAAATAATAAACATTTTAAATAGCCAAGTATTTGAACCCAATTGACCTGTATACTGGAAAGTTCCTAAAGATATGGAAACAGGAAATAAATAAAGTAAATGAAGAGAAGCTGCTAGGACTGAGAAAACCTAGAACACAAAATAAGAAAGCTTAGTTTTCCTGTAGTTCTAGAGTTTTGTTAGGATTTAATTAATGTGATAGACTCACCCTCTGTTGAAACTGGCTATAGTGATAAGTAACTAAAAATAACTGTGTCTTCTTTACTGTGGGCACATTCCTATTACCCTAGTAACTATCCACTACTGTGTATGAATATTACTATACTGTATTATTATTTTCTCATCATGGTATGTGATATACCAATTTCATTTAATTTCTCAATTACAATACTACTTATTCTATGATGGAAATTTGTAATTGAAAGAAAATTAAAAATATAACATATCTTGCTAATGAATCTATGGTTCAGTCCCACAAAACCTTGCCTAGGACTAAAAAATTTTAAGAAGTAATCTTTATCCTTTTCCATGGGGAATCTTAGTGTGATGTCAGATTTGAATATTCATGTTTCCTGAGAAGCCAGATTAAATTTACAATGAAGTAGTAACCATGATCTCATTTCACACAAGAAATGAATATGTATTTTTAGTGCCATTTTCAAAATTAGACTGGGCCGGCCCGGTGGCGCACTGGAGAGTGCACCGCTTGGGAGCGTGGCGGCACTCCCGCCAAGGGTTCGGATCCCATGTGGAGACCAGTTCCCGCTCACTGGCTGAGCGTGGTGCGGGCGCAACACCGAGGGTTGCAATCCCGTTGCCGGTCAGTAAAAAAGACGAAAAAAAGGAAAAAAAAAAAATAGACTGTGTTTTTTGTCATTGTTGTTTTTAAGTTCAATGAGTAATGAGTACTAATTTTTGCTCACTAAAGTAACTACCATATTTTGCTCTTTCCAACCACCATCAGCAAAACTTTCCCCTGACCCCAAAGTGAATGTTCAATCTTTGATGGTCACTGCCTTCTAGAATAATGGAAGAGCAACGGGAAGCTCCCAGGACTTAAGATCTGCTTTATCTTACTGAATGACCGATCTCTTTCCCTCTCTCCTTTTTTCTATCCCTATCTTGTCTTCTGGATTTGTAAATAAATATTTGAACCTCTGATACTAAGTAACTTTTAAATTCTTTTATCTTTCACAGTGGGAAATTGACTTAGATGGCTGTGAGGCATTGATATGCAAGGACTAAAGACATGAAAAAATATGAGTTTGAGAGCCATTCTAAACTGAATTGCCAATTGTATACAGGGCTAAAATTATTTACTTATTACTGATAGTATTTTTAGCAAAATGAAACCTTTTTGATTCCTTACCCAAATTCACTGACAATGAACCAAAAGACATCAGATATTGATTTTGTTCTCAGTTTTACCCCAGATTTTCATCAAGTGTTTATTTACTAGCCAATAGCCAGTATTTATTGACAGCTGACAATGCACATTTATTAGTTTAAGAACTTCCTATTTATTCTTCTCACCACAACTGTCTGAGGCAGACTCTATTATCCCCATTCTACAAATGAAGATATTGAGGTACACATAGTTAAATAACTTTCCCCAAATTACACAGCTGTGTGGAGACAGACAGTCTGACTCCCTTGCTGACATTCTCAACTACTTTGCTGTAATTGTCTCTTTTGCCACTTGAAAATTCTGGTAGACAAATAGTTCAATATTTCAGAAGTCTCAGAGATAATGGAGATAAGCAATTAGAGCTACTAAAAAATAATACCATGTTGTCTCTCCCTCCCCTCCTTTTAAGTTCTTCTTTCCTGATGTCATGGAAACTACCCGAGTTTGCCCCTCATTCGTGCTCACATTCATCAGAATTCCTGGAATCATTATGTCTACATCCAGAATTTTTCAAAATTTGGGTCATATTCATTAGTAGACCTTGAAATTAATTTATTGAATTCAGACCAAAACTTAAATATATATGTTTATGTGTTTTTATGCACAGAAGAGAGAGAGAGAGAGAGAGAGAGAGAGAATAGAATAGAATAGAATAGAATAGAAGAGAAGAGAAGAGAAGAGAAGAGAAGAGAATAGCAATAGAAAGTATTGGGAGTATAGACGAAAAAAGGAAGAGAGAGAACATCAAAATTTATATTGAAGAAGAGAAAAGAGAAAAGAAGGTTCAAGAGCCCAAATGACAGAGCCAGATAGAGCTGGGTTTAAATCCCAGCCCCTTCACTCACTGCAAGTGCCTCGTTATTGTCCCCATCTATTACCTGGAGATAAGAATTAAGGATATTGACAGTTCATGTTTGTCGTTAGTGCATAATTGTGTGTTAAAGATAAGCAATAAATAGAAGAACATATTAGTACACCATTTGTAACAAACATAATTATTATACTGTTTATAAGTAAACAAAATACATAAGTAAACTATGTTGTTTCTTTGTTCTCCAATTAGAGTCATCTTTTTTGTATTCTCAATGTCAAAAATAGTGTGCTTTGTGTAATAATATTTCTTAAAAACAAATTATTGAGTTTGAATAATTGCCATTTTCTAATATTCATACAGGTTTACTGTTTCCCCAACTTAAAGAGTAGGAACCATCTTCCTCTTTATCATCTCTCAGTGGAACTACATAAAGCAAGGCTAATCACATAGTGGATCCTCAATATCTTTTGTTTTACTGATTAATAAAATATAGTGACTTCTGATTAACAAAGGGGAAAGTAATCTAATTTAAGCATGCAATTATAGTTGCAATACTGTGAGTCCCATGAATTCCTCAACAATTATTTCCTGCTTACAAATGTTTTTGTGAGTTCCAAACTATATTCTCTAATATTCCTGTATTCCTTGGGCTTTCAGAATTACACTGGTCCCCATGTCTTTCTTGGTGGTCTTAATATCTTTATTTTGATATCAGGTTCTCCAATGTTCACAGAACATCTGACAGAAGACAGAGAAGAAAATGGCTTCCCTCACTTAAACAGGGAAATTGAAACATCAAGCAGCTATATCATGCATCATCAATGGGTCTAAGCTTCATGTTTTCTGAGATACACTGCCTATCTTGGGCAGTGGTGTTATGAGTCATCCCTGGACTATGTCATAAAGACAAGGGCTAATGATTTCTCTTCATATCTCAGTGTCTAGTACAGTGCCTCATTCCCAGCATATGCCCAACAAAGATTTGCTGTTGATACTAATAAGAACTCAAGCAGTAAAATGCACATTTTCACCCTTTACTGTGGTGATATTGGTATAAGATGACGAGGGAGAGTTTGGACAATGTCATGGAAATCATATATCTACAAAATACTGTTTTCTTATAAAAAATAAAATGTCAGTGAATGATTATGAAAAGCAAACAACAAAGAATGATGTATCATGGCCATTTGGAGAAAAGACTGGGTATTTGTTATTTTAGGATACCCTTCAGAAATATCCTTAAATTTCATTCTTAAAGTATTTCACTATTTGAGCAAAAGGGATTAAAATACTTACATGATTTGGCAGAGGGTCATGAAAGGGTCTAAATACTGTAGATAGGCTTGGGTTGGATTAGAAATTAGGTGAAAACTCTTCAATCTTGCTTTTAAATGATACATAACCAATTTTTTTTTTTTTTTTTTGTCTTTTTCCGTGTCCGGCAATGGATCGCAACCCTCAGTGTTGCCCCCGTACTGGACCGGGGACCGGCAATGGGATCGCAACCC